TCCAAAAAACATACAAACAAATGCTCTATTCAGTTTCGTAAAACTCAGGTTTTTTTTTTGTGCTTGGATAAACCGGACAGATACTTGTTAGTTGTTACTGTTGCTTTCTAGATTTTTGTCATAAGAAAGGCATGTTCCACTGGAGTAATTCCCAGCTGTCAGCGATGTACTGATACACTACAGCCAATCATAGGGGAACAATTCAAATAAACAGGATGTTCTCAATATGTATGATTGCATGTGTAAAAAAAATTGCATGTGTGCACATTTCACATTCTCCTAATGGGGTTTAATGCATTGTATAACCTGCATCTGTATCTGTACACTAGAAACATTTATAAACAAACAACATACTTAAAAAAAATGATCCACAACTATAACAAATACAGTCTAACAGAAATAATGACAAAGAACACTGTGATGAAGACAAAGGGAAAATATTTTTTTATAGAGACACTCCAAACACCACAACCACCTATGCTCAATGCAAAAAAACTAGAATTTAATGTTTAGTTTAAAGTATAAAGTATACATGTAGTGTGAGTGCATTGCTGGAAAAAAACATAAACTTACCTCTCAGATATTATGGGGGTTGATATCATATAAAAAGATTAAAATCAGGAATACCACACAATAGTGTATTATTGAACACATGTTTGGAAATAACAAGCAATGTGAGTAGTAAAGGCTTTAAACACAGAAACATCTGTGTCTTTACAGCAGAGATCAAACCTTCTTTAAATGGCTCTTCTATATGTATCTCCACAAATATAAATATATACATATAGTTAATGCAATGTTAAACACAAATACACACACCAGGCAAGCCATATGACTTGCATTTCCCACAAAAATCTCACTTTAACAGTGCTCTCAATACTGCAAGGGATTCTGGGTAGGCGTATGCAAATTAGCTCAACAAAGAATCACATTTTTGCCTCATAATTCCACTTTATACATGGATTCCTTGGAGTATGTGTCTGCTGTATACAACAGCTTTGAAACACAACTCAGGAAGAGGAGCAAAGCCAGTGAACCACTCATGGACAGCTATTTCGTTGTTATTTCAACTCATCAGCATGAGATAGATTACTGGCTGGCTATGGAGGCTTGGTGTTACTTGTTAAAGGGACATTATAGTCACCTGAACAACTTCAGCTTAATGAGGTTGTTCAGGTGAGAACGATAGCTCCCTGCAGCCTTTCTCATGTAAACACTGTATTTTCTGTGAAAATACAGTGTTTACATTGAAAGCTAGGAACACCTCCAGTTGCAGTCACTCAGAGTGAACCAGAGGGACTTCTGAGTTGATGGAGGCATAATATGCCTCCATCCACTCAGATCTGCTGTGCACGAGCATCCTGTGATTCAGTATCTCCTCCCACTGCATGCAGACACTGAACTTTCCTCATAGAGATTCATTGATTCAATTAATCTCTCTGAGGAGATGCTGATTGGCCAGGGCTGTGTTTGAATCATGCTGGCTCTGCC